ACCGGTCAGCCCTTAGTGTCCCGTAAGCCTGGTCCGCAGGCATTTGTGTGATTAACTGGTTTTTGTCAGTAGTCGCTGAGGACACACTGCGTCCAACAGTTCCTTGGGATGATTGCCGCAAGCATTACCCAGCCAACAATACAGATTATCTGTCGCACATCTGTAGAAGTCCGCAAATCTTAGCTGCAGGTATACGGCTGGACGGAGGCTAGTAAGGTGCTATCAGGTCCGGACCGTATTGCAAGATTGGTTACGCATATTCCACTGTGACTTCTAGTATTTGCATCAATTCTGAAGCGCAACCCCATAAACCAGTGTATGCGATTGATTTTTTGGAGGGATAAATCTGTTTGTCGTATGCAACTGGCTTTGCCCTCATGTGCCGTAAAACCTCCCCTGGAAACCGGGTTATGGGTTGGTCAACCAAAATTTTTCGTTCTACTTTTACCCGTGCACTGAATCTACTGGAAGGCCCCGCTTCTCATGTCACAGCAGCTGAGACAACTTCCTGGTCTTATAAAAACGCAAAACAGTTATGGGTATAAATGAAGACACTAGAGTTTGGTTGTTGTGCGTAAAGTCCTCGAGCGCAGCAGCGAGTGAGAGTTGGAACTGTACGAATGAGAATTTTGCCGAGTAGGTCCACCTGCTGAACATCTACTCTGAAGGTCTTTAAGGCATAAAGAAGCAAAGCTGTACTGAAACACCTTGCCAGCAGGCAATTACGACAGACCCCCGATGCCAAGCGTGTCTAGCAACACTCCATAGGCGTCGCTGTGCAACAGCTTGCGGGGCGGAAGAGGGGCGCTCACTGATCGTCTTACGGGACTCACTCCTACCGCTGTGTCCAACCAGCAGCCAACAGGACGGATGAGTTCCGTAACACGATCGGCCAGCGCCCCTCTACCATTATGCATTCCCGATCGCAGCCGACAGGATAACGAGCCCGTGGCTCAGTGGTTAGGGGCGTTGGACTTCTAATCAACAGGTCACGGGGTCGAGTCCCACGTGTTCCACGCCTCGGGGTTGGGTATGACTCGCTGACGACGGCTAATAAGCCAAAAATGGCCTTTCAGTCCCCCTTGACTTTGTCGGCAATGTTAATAAAATTGAGGTGTCAATTCTGCCGCGATCGCGGAAAACGAACGAAGGAGAAGCAGATGGTTAACCCACCGAGAAATGTGCAGATTCAGAATGCCGACACACGGGAACAACTACCGCGAGTTATAAAGGAAATTCAGTAGATCCATCAGCGTCTCCACGCACTGGAGTTGATAGGATCGGACACACCCCCGACGTTCACATAGTCCCAGCGGACTTTCCAAGAAATCCAGTTACCGCGTCCCTCCGCATGAAGGAGGAATTTCTGCAGCCGGAGTAGCTACTGGTGGACAATCGGTTCCGAGATCAGTTGTTACGTATGCAAATTTGTATTAACTCACGATTTCGGCGAGGGTTCCTAACATGTTTATGATGCTGGCATACTGATGACTTCGTCAGATGAATTTTTTATGCGCTATCCAAGGACGCGATAATAGTGCACATTAAATGGGACGGATGTTCGCATTCAAGATGTATGGTTGGAGAAGAAGACTGTTCGATCGCCGGAGGCATTCCATTATTCTTTTGAGCTTTCTTCATCGTCCATCGTCAGAGATAAAGGCGGCAACGGAAAAGGAACGGCAGTTGCCTTTTTTGATGTGCTCGTCAGGCGAAATCAAAACGAGGAAAACGAAAAAAACGTTCTGCAGGAAGGGGATGAACACCACCCACATCCCCACTTTTTACAAACGATACGGTGTGAAGACCTTTTTTTAGTCGGATTAAGACGCATTTCAGTAACCCGGACGAAAAGCACGTCAGCCCCGATATCCCCGCGACCAGTTAATGCGGAACGGCTATCCGAAGGCGTTCACAAGTCGGCGCCTATGTGTTCGTTCCCTGATCGCCCATCCAGAAACATCACTGATGGTATGGCATGCTCTGGCATGCAGCAAGGAGTGTCAAAGGCGACCCCACGCATTGCTAATGTGTGCAATATTGCACACGCAATCAAAGCTACTATACGCAGCAGGACGATAAAAATAAAGAACCAGTCAAATCCCAGTGAGCAGTCGGGTGTTGTGCGTCAAGCCCATAGTTAAGGCTTCATTACTAACTTATCAATTCCTGGCTGAATGGGGATTCGTTAACTTGTAACGTCCTGCGTACTCGGGGAGGGGGACTAACTGAGGATCACACGCGCGTGAGTATAACTACCGATTCTTGGTCAGAGACTCCGGTTCTTGAGCGTTCGTACGTAATATATTTATTACACAGGCATCCGCATGCAGACGCAGGACTAAGTGGTAAGTATTAAACGACGGATGGAAAATACAAGCAGTTTATTGGAATGCGAGAGGCAGCGTATAACTGGGCGTTGATGTTATAACCAGGTTGACAAAAAAGAACGATAGAAAAATAGTCACTAACGAAAACGTTAGAAACTCGGTAGGTGCAAGTATGTACGCAAAACGTGGGTGTGGAAAACAGGAATAAGAAGTTGAACTTTAAAACCACAAAAGCACTTATGTATGACGAAAGAGATAGGTGGAAAAGTATCGAAGGTTGGACTTATCGGACTGGGAATCTGTTAATTAACGCACTTGCGGATGAAATCTGATAGAGCGCGCAACCAAAAAACCAAGACGTAGACGGGCAAATAAAACGTTGCTTAGTTATAACTAATAAATGGCATAGTATATCATGCTAGAGAAGCAGAGGAATATGGTAATCAGAGTGATAATGCGATTACAAATTGCCTTTGAATAATGGCATTTCCAACTGCCTGTCCTAAATATCGACCATTTATCGTACAATTTAGCAGTTAAGTAGGCTTACTGAGTGGAACATCCTCATCGCCACATCTACCCGGATGACGTTTCTGCACGGACCACTGGAAGCCAAAGGCCGGGAAAAATCGAGAGTTTGGCAAACTGCGGAAAACCTTCGTAAGGGGTGACTATATGCTATCGGCACTAACAATACTAACGATGCCAACTAACTGAAAAACAACTAACTAACTAATTAACGTACTAACTAACCGACTAAATAACTATAGAACTAACTAATTAGCCGACTAACTGTATACAGTTAGTCAGTTAATAAGTCAGTGATTTGGTTAGTTATTATAATAACTAACCAAATCACTGACTTATTAACCGACTAATTAACTAACTAAGCTAACCAACTAACTACTTATACTAACTAAATAACTGACTAATTAACTATACTTACTAAGCGACTAGCTGGCTAACTATACTAACTACATTTTAACTACATTGTGTGTGAGCTGCGTGGAACTTTCACAGAGGGTAACTATATAATAACTTCTTATTGGACCAGTTTTCTCATTTAACCGATTTTATTAATGACATCTTCGGGGTGTCCCATTGATTGAAAGTATCATTCGAACATAATTTCACAAAATTTTAACTACGGAATAGTCTCAGAAGCTGTCGGCCTCGCATAAAGATGTTCGACCAATCACTATTCCGTACTGTGAGACCCGTCCGCATATCGCGTTTTTTAATCACTCCCCTCTTGTTAGTTCAATAAATATAGATGGGTACCAGAAGTTTGTTCATTGCTATCACTTGCGCCAGACTTCTCTTTTCAGTTGTTGCATGTAAGCGAAGTCAGAAAACGCTGCTTAGTGCTCAAGAGCGCATCGGTTGTAGTCGAAAATATATTAAGTGCCAAGTCGATTTAACACGTTGACCTACGTGTCTCGAGATACGAGATCTCTTTGACCTTGCCTTAATGAAAATGCTGGCATCATGTCGACATAATTTCGGCATATCCATGTTTACGTTAGTGTAGTGCCGCCCTGGTTATGCCAGCTGTATGCTGGGCACATGTGCCTAGGATACCTATGTAGCATAATACTATGCCGATTTATTCATGTCAGTTTGATGCCCGTTTGAAAGAGCTCCCCGGCACTCCATGTGGGCCGTCTCCGGGGTATCGCGTAATCGCGCTCACCATTCCTCTTTTACCCCCGCCACATTTAAGGGAAAGTAGGGCCTGATAAACATGATCTCTTTACTGATAAGTGCATTTAGGTACATTAGGAGCCATTCCAACTGTCTGCGTCGATCAGCGAACACGTTGTTGGCAACCTTGGAGGCCGGTTGCGCTGCACCAACGAAATCCGCCGTGTTGGGATCTCTTCAGGCCTTCCACATGTGGAGGGGGGAGAGCGCAGCAGGTGCTGCGTAAGTCTGCTGTCACAATAGACCAATTCAGTCTGTCTAACACCTGCTATGTGGTGGGACACACGGTAGACATCATCGTTCACGATGGTTGGTGCGCCACTTATAACTTAAAGTCGATAATTCACAACGCCTTCGTTGCTGGGTCAGCGATTCTTTGCTGGGTTTTATTGCTGACTTTTCTTCTTTTATGCATTACTGTAGCTGGGTTCATGTCGTCAAACACGAATTGAAATTGAGTCACCCCTCGGATGACAGCAGGTATCAGTTACTGCTACGGACCCTCTGAGAGACTTCCCTTTCATTTGGAAAAAGCAATTGCCATAAACAGTACTACTAGTGGACATCTCATCTTAAAGCCAACACTCGTCTTTATAATTATATATCTTTCTTGCCATGCGCATTGCAACGTCATTTTATTACGAGCCCACAGATTGACCATTCGCTGGGGAATTGCGGTCCCTTCTGCTTATTTATTGGTCGTCAGAGGGTTCATATCTTAAGTCAGTCTCGGTGAACTGTCAACCGGCAGGTGCATACCGAAATTATGTCCATCGAAGTTCAAAAGCTTGACCCCGGCAGTCGAAAATGGTTCCATTGGCCGGAACACTGTCGTCAGACGTAAAGTCTGCTTCTTTTATGCAGAGACTTCGTTGAATACCGTCCCACTGCACGCCATCCGTGGATATCCTGGTTGATCAGAAACTGGGCTTATAACCAGAATTTTGGGATTTTATATGAGATGATATGCTCCAGGTAAGTCTCTTGGAAGGGCAGGGCCAGCTTCCAGAGGACCAGCTTCTCTCGAAGTTGTCCTAACCAACTCGGAGGTCGAGCCACTAGGCACTTGTCCCACCATCGTTGTCCCAGAGATCCAAGCCCCAACTGGCCTCGCTGGAACAACTGAGACATTGTGATCGTAGCCCTGGTTTGTCCTTACTAGTTTATGGGTTGCGTCTTTTGGGGGATTTAAACTCCTTCCCTGCAATGTCGCCGCTTGTGCCCAACGTCAGATGGTTCCTCGAAATTTCTTGACCGCTGTGAGGGGAGCGGTTTGTTTTAAGCGGTCGTCGCAGACCACCGCTTGCGTTTTCGGATGTCTAGAAAGCACCCTTGAAGTTTGCTGTGTGTGGACTCAGTTTCCATTATTGGCGTCGTTCTGCGACCGCGGTGACTAGTCCCTGTGTTTCAATTTGGCCAAACCTTGCATTCTGATCGTCCTGCTGTCTGCAAAAGCACTGACCAAGACACCCTCCACTTTCCGCGTCATCATGGAGTTCGTGCAGGGGTGGCAGTGGTTTTCTTAACAACCGTCTTGTGATAAATACGGTTTTGTCCATAAGCCGCGAGTGCTTTCTGGTAGAGCATGAGCTGGAATGTTGATTGTGCCAAGTCCGGTTGCGTAAATGTTAGTAGTCAGACAACACTTTTAAGAGCGATTTAGCAAAATACCAAAGCTCTAGAGACACCAACCTCGCTATTCCCACGACAGTCTTCACGGGCACTCTTCGAAATAGTTCTTGCATCTGCAATGATGACTGTTCAACCGTCGTTTCCGAGGATGCCTACGGTGTGCTCCACGCCAGGGTGGAACCAGAGACGGTGACTTGTGCATGAATTTGTTTATGCTGACCGTAGACTTGCGCATATCTACTGCACCCTCTCCACCCCTTTCGCTTACCTGAACCCGGTGTCAAGACTGAGTCAAGAAGACCGGAGGTGGGAGAGGGCGCAGATGGCTAGCACGACGAAAACCCGCGCCTTAACGCGTGCCACCACACGGCTCGGATCCCGTTGAATGGGAGGCCACGTCAAGGAGTCATTGCAGCCTGGCTCTCAGTCCACCCGTCGGCCTTTCCACACAGACGCACTGGGCTGACTGCGAGGCCCGAGTTGTTTCTTCAGCCGGCAGACTCCCAAGCCAAGGCATCTAGCGCACCGTGATTATCTCCAAGCGCCTTATATTGTTTATGATGAGGATTATGCACCGAGGGTCGACGTCATTCGCTCTACCCTGCCCCGCGCACCTGTCGACTGTCCGAGCCGGTCGACTGGATGATGGGAGATAGCTGAGATTGGGGGAGATCGCTAACGGATCTGAGAACAACACGTTTGTGTCTGCCGCACAATTACAAGCTGGCTTCTTGTCTAAACACACACTCACCGTCGGTTACTCAGCAGCCCACGTTCCTTCTCCTTACAACTTCGTACGCGCGCACCAGATCTACTGTAGACTTTCAACCTCACACGTGGAAAATAAGTATGCTTTATCCTATTTCCTCTTCACCCCTTACTTTTTTAGGCGACGCACAAGAGCTTCAACTTCAGTACGGAGACAAATACTGCCAACTACCAGACATCAAGATCGACCGTCAATCCGATTCTTGTAGCTAACAGCGCCGCTTCTGTCATCTCCAACTTACTCATCCGTCTGTCTTCCGTCAGGGTGTCTACCGTCGGCAGCTTCGAACTGCCTGCTGCCATGCAACAGGCAGCTGTCAGCATCACAGAAAACAAGGAGGAATCTATGGAAGTAAATCCAGACGGCGATATGTATCGACCGTCAATCCGATTCTTGTAACTAACAGCGCCGCTTCTGTCACCTCCAACCTCCGTTTTCCTATCGTCAGGGTGTCTGCTGTCGGCAGCTTCAAACTACCTACTGCCATCCAACAGGCAGCTGTCAGCATCACGGGAAACAAGGAGGAACCCATGGAACTAAAGCCAGACGGTGACCCGTCAATCAAACTGAACCCGAATGCAGTTAGTCCGGGGCGATTTGTCGACTATGCCGCCAGTGAGCAACTTCTCCCGCTTTTAAGTTCTTATTTTTGATCGTCATAATCCTCATGCACTTCCGTTGCCAAATTTTTGGTTCTCCTCGGACTCTTTCGCCCTTTCAAAATCTCTCTTGTGACAGGATTTCAAGAGTGAATGTTGGTATGAGCTGAAGCTCTCGGTTTACGAGGTTACTGTACATGGTTTTCGCGGTTATGACATCGACAATTCGACCGTCGGTCTCGACGATGTTCGCCCTGTGCTTCACGGCAGGGTCAGCGCAAGGAAAGTGACTTGCGCGTGAGTTAGTTTATGGTAATAGTGGACTTGCGCAGCATCTACCACAATCTCTCCTCATTTCCTGCCTTGACCCCGTGTAGTGTAAAGACTACCAGTGACGGAAATGCCGGTACATCCATGTTGGCGATGAGAACGCACTTTTTGTGCGTGCCGCTCAGAGAGGCGTGCCGCTCAGGTTTTCAGAAGAATAAGTTAGCCCCGCTGGCTCAGCCACTGACCCTATAAGCACGTAGCATACCATCTCAAGTAGTGTATTCTGCACGTATTCGTAGATCGAGTCTCGTAGACTATAAACTTGACCGCCTTGGGTACAGACACAAAAAGACTAAATTTTCTTTGAAGTTGTCATTCCATCTACTACGACTCATCAGGATGGCGGCGGCGGCGGCGGCAGCAAACGTATGTATACGCAACGGGAGTCTTATTGTGACGCTTTGACCTTCGCAACCGACGATGTCCACCGTGTGCTCTACAGTAAGGTGAGAGCAGGCACGGTGACTTGCGCGCGAGTTAGTTTATAGTGGAAGTAGACTTGCGCAGCATCTACCGTACTCTTTCCTCCCCCTCACCTGGACCGGTGTCAAGACAGAGTCAAGAAGACCGAAGGCAGGAGAGGGCGCAGGTGGCTGACACGGCGTAAACCCGCATCTGGGCCTGTCACCACATCCCTTGGTCTGCAATGTGCACCGACCAGGATTTTACACAAAAAAAAGGGGGGACTCGGATCCCACGGAGTGCGAGTGCCGTAGAGGCCACATTAAGATCGAGCCGCTGCAGTTTGACTCGCTGTCCCCCAGTCGGTCACTCCACAAAAACGCACACTGGACTGACTGCTAGGTCCATGTTATCCCGTCAGTTGGCTACCTTCTAAGCAACGACACTTGGCGCACTGTAATAATCTCAGACTCGGATCGCACATACAACAGAGGGGCCACATGGATAATTAGCCGAGGACCACACCCCCCATCTACGTGAGAGGTGCCAATGGTGTGATTGTCTTGTGTGACGTTGGGTGTGGTCATGTGTGGTGTAGGTTCTGGTGAGGAGAGACGCGATGGTATGTTGTAGCCGACGGTGTTCTATCGCCGGTTTTAATGGAGACGCATATGGCCTAATAGGCCCATGCTGTGAGTGTATGTGCGTGAGCAGTGGGAACAGTTGAGGCGAGGACGTCTTATGTATGCTGGTGCTCCAAGCACTGGTTCGCCAGTCTCTGTGCGGTGGATTCACAAGTGGCTTTGGCAGCGGCGATCCGGTTGGCCTCATGGATGGCTGTTCCAGTCTCCACTTCTCTTCTCTAAGCCATTCTGTTCTGTGCGCAATCTCCCCAAGTTTTCGGGTTTATTTGTAGCCGGGATCTCCGGTCCGTTTCAAGACTTTCGTGTTCAGGATCCTGTCCTGCTACATCAGAAGCGTTTTACCTTCCCAGCTTGATTGAAGTGGCCGATCCAGGTTTCCGCCCCGTTACAGGAACGTCACCAAGACGACGGCCTTGTGCGTATTCAGTTTTATGTTCAGTTGAAGACCGCGGCGATTCCATACAGAGGCTTGCAGCCGACCGAATGTTTGGCTGACTATGGAAATCCGGCGGGCCACATCGTCGTCGATTTTGATGCAGCGTGAGAGGGTGCTGCCTAAATAGGTGAAGTTGTTCACGATCTTCAGTTCGGTGCTGTTGACGTGGATTGCGGGGAATATTGTATGCAGCGGTTGGTGCATGACCACCGTTTTGTCCTTGTAAATGGCCAGTCCGAAGTTCGTACATCCGACGGCGAAGAGGTCTACGCGTCCTTGTATGTCAGCAGTCAGCAAGCAGTCATCCGCGAAGAGCAGGTTGTGGAGAGACGCGTTGAGGCCTACATGAGCGGGCTGTTGAGATACCCGTCAATCCTGTAGGAGATGCGGGTCCCGGGGTGCTCATCACAATTGGCGTCCATCAGCATGGCAGAAACCGCAAGAGTAGAGAGGGTAGGAGTGAGTACACAGCTCTGCTTCACTCCGTTGGTGACTGCAAATTCTCCTGAGACGGTCCCATTGTCCGTGACGTACGCCATCGTCCCGTCATGGATCCGATGCAGCATGTGCATGAATCGCTCAGGCCAGCCGAATTTCTGCATGAGTTTCCACAGTCCTTCGCTCCTCACCATGTAGAAGGTTTTCTTCAAGTTCACGAAGGTGGTGTAGAGGTGGGTTACAATTTTACGGAATTTGTCTGGCGGCTGGCGGGCGACAAAGATAATATCGATGGTTTCACGGTGACAGCAGAATCTACACTGGCCCTCTGGGAGGTGTCCTTGTTCGAGATGGCCCTGGAGACGGTTGAGGAGGATGTGAGCGAAGATCTTGCCGACGATGTTAAACAGCGAGATTCCTCTGTGGTTATCATAGAGTCGCCAGTTCCCTTTCCGTTTGTAGCGATGGACGATTGTGCATCCTGGAAATCCTGAGGGGCTTGCCCTCAGCGTCACATCTCCTGGAATAGCGCTGTGATTTGATCCATGCCGCCGTGCCTGTAGACTTCGGCCGGAACCGTGTCAGATCCCGGTGCTTTCCAGCTGCACAGTTGATGTACGGCGCGGATTGTTTCTGTGGAAGAAAGCGGCAGATCCAGGTCGTCATTCGTTTTTGCTTGGGGTATTCGGTCAATGGCTGCCTCGGAGATTGCGGAGGGGCGGTTGAGGACGCTTCTGAGGTGCTCCGCCCAGCGCTTCAGAATATGTGATTTTTCCGTCAGAAGCATTGTTCCATCGGAGCTGAGAAGTGGCACGGCTCCCTTAGCTGTGGGGCTGTAGATCGCCTTGAGTGATACGAAGAAATTCTTGAGTTCATTGCGGTCAGGATATCCCTGGATTTCACAGGTCTTGCAGGTCATCCAGGTGTCCACCATCTCTCTCTCTCTCAGTCGCTGCTGCACGATGCGACGATAGCGGAAGAAGGCCGCCTTATTTGTGGCTGTCCGGCGGTTCATGTGGGCTCTATGTAGCCTGCTTTTCAGCGAGCAAGATGCTAATGTCGACGTCGTTGTCTTCGAACCAGTCCTCATGTTGGCGACGTGCGCGATCGAGGACGCCTAAAGCCGTCGAGTGGAGGGCAGTCCGCAGTCGACACCACCGATTCTCTGCAGTGGTGTTGTCGACCAGGGCCGGCAGTTCCTCCAGGTGCTGAGCTAACTGATTGCTGTAATGCAAACAGTGAGCAGGCAAATTCAACAGAACAGTATTTAACTTACCTGGTGGTCGCTTACCTTTTGATCTCCTGCGAGATTGCAATCGGAGCCTCATCTTTTAGATGAGGCGATGGTCGGTCCGTCTATGGGTGTCGCAGATCGCCTTGGCAGCCAGCACGTCCTGTTGACTCGCCTCCAGACGAGGACGTAGTCCAGCAGCTGCTATTGCCGCGATTGGAGGTGCATCCAGGTAGCCTTCTTCCGCTTCGGGAGGCGGAAAGTGTTGGTCTGTAGGAGTCTGTGTATTGTGTAGATTCACAGGAGGAGACCGTCGTCGTCGCAACCGGTGATTCCGTGGGGACCCAGCAGTCTCCTTCAGGCAGCACAGGCCATCCCAAGGGCTGTTGCCAAGGGCAGCCAGTTTGTCCGCCTTCGGCAGTCCCCAGGAGGGCGTGCAGTTCTTCGTAGGCTATGGCCTTCGCCTCGTCAGAGTTTGTCATTGTGGGTGCGTAGACATTGACGATGGTGGTGAATTTGGATCCCCGAAGAGGTAGGCGCATGGCCATCAGTCGGTCGTTGATGCCCTGCGGTAGGCAGGGCAGTCGTCCCATATTGTCGTTACGGATGGCAAAGGCGACGCTCACGAAGCTGATATTTGGACCACCGACTTTGACCCTTCTCCTAGTTTATTATTAATGGCGCTGAACACCGACCACGCCGACACGTCCTTGAAAAAAAAATGAAATTCTCGCATGCCCGCTCAGTTCAAAAGATGGAATTCCGCATTCTTGGCTTCTGTTTAGCCATGGGATTTGCGCGCCCTTTCCCTTTTCTCCCATTTAAAAATGAAAGTGTTCTCTCCCTCACGCTTACACATAGTCAGTCTTCGACGTTTATAAAGCTGGGGGTGTCAAATGATCGCACTTTCCTGTTTACTCGTTCGCAGGTCTGGTCAGATCGCCCAGTTCTGCCCTAACCTCCCAGTTTCTCCCCCTTCGGTGTAATGAAGCTGATCAGATGACCCTGGAGGCCCTGGCCTTCCTCTTGTCCGTAAACAACGCCTTTGGCATCTACTCGGAGTCTCCGTTTTTGCGACCCGTCGCCCTCCTGCGGCCTGTACGGTTCGCCTCCCCGGCCAATGTCCTTCTTCAATACCCCGATCCCGAAAACATGGTCCGTAAGTTGCGAGATCTAGCAGATCAGAAGGTAACTAGTATCCCCCTGCTGGCTATCCTCTCGGGTGCCAAGCCGAGTGCCGCCTCCCTGGGTTTCTACACTGGCTATCTGACCTACAGTTTCACCCTCGAACTCGACAACAATACGATGCATATTCTGGCGGATCAGTCACGACGACCGCATGAGTACGTCTGCACTTCTTGCTCTGGTTAACCAACTCCCCGCCACCCTATCAAATTTACCATCATGTGCCCTTATCCACTGCCCTTTCAAGATGACATGGCTTCCTTTAGATAGTTAAACTTGCCGCCTATGTACGCCTTGTATTTTTGCTTCAGCCGCGCTGACAAGTACCGTCTCATTCTTCGGTTGGCCTGGGCCACGGCCGGACTTTACATGCCACGTGACAAGTCCAATCCCTCTCGCGTGTTGGCCTCTGAAGTGCTACCTCGCTGTCTGTCCGTCCGCGTTGCTCGTCGCAATGTCACCCTTCCCGATCCCATCTTTCATGGCGGCCAGGCGCAGAGATTTGGTCATCGACTTCGATTTGCAATCGACATCACTGACAAGGTTGTTTTTCTTTTCCTTCCTGTCCACTGCATGCTCTGGATTGTTCAGTCTAAGCATTCGAAAGAGCGAGAAGGAGACGATTTAATGGGCCGGGGAATGCACTTTTTAGATTTTCGAGTTCGCTCTCCAATCTACCAACTCTGTTGTTTGCGCCCAGTTGGCACAGTCCGGCCAGTTGGTGGTTGGGCATCAGGAGGGGTGTCTGTGCGGTCCTCTGCGTGACATACTCCCTCTTTCAATCTCAAGCTGTTCTGCGGCGGCTGTGGGACTAATCCAGCTCGACCGACTGAGTCTCAGTGCGGTAGAGCAGGCACACAGTTCACTCTCCAATGATGGAGTCCGGCATGAATTTGAAACTTGAGACAAAATAGACTTGACCTTCTCTTGTGAATTGATTGCTGGGGCACGAATCCTAACTTCTTTGGACCCGCGGAAATTAAAGGGCGATTCCCGGACACCATCAGTGAACGACAACAATTGGAGTCTGTCACGTGTGTCGCGCGAGTCCACACAGTTTTATTATCGACTGATCTTTCTCGTACTTGCAGATTGTAACTCGATCCAACTTCGCAGTCCGCGGTCGGGGTGTTGAAATTGACCTAACCTGGCTGCACGCCCCTCTGGAGGACCACGCTCTGCCGCTGCTTGAGATGGTCGGCTCCGGCTCCAGTACTCCCATCCTCAATCACTTGCTCAACCTTCCCCTTATTCAAGTCACTCTGGATCGTGTGCAGCCAATACCGGAGTTTGTGCGCATGTTTTCGTCGGCTGTTGCTGGCGAACCAGTCGCAGACCCTCCTCCGGATTGCAAGCTTCCTCGC